ACGCTGCGTGGTTTTGCAGGGTTTTGAGCTCTTCTAGAAATGGCACCTACTGAATGCATTTTTCTACAGCTCGATTTTCCTGCTCGACATGATGTTCACCCATCTTGATTTTTCCCAGTTGTACATCGAATGAACCTGACCCACAATTGTGAAGAATGTAAAAGCCTCACAGTATTAGGGTGGTGTGGAACAACAGGAACTTTTTCTGCCCTGCTTGCAGGAGAGCTAACTGGTAGCACCACTTTTTAAACCAATGTGGCATTACCCGGGGAAGGTGAAGAAGTGCCTTTTCTACATATGACCAGGCAATGGAGAGGGCAGAATGTTCACAGCTACATGGCTGGCAACAACCGGACTCCATGTCATTCGCTCATTTCTGTTTTGCAACATTTGTGGAGTGCCAGTGGAGGACCAGGTCCTGCCTGCAGAGGTTAGCATTTGTGCTTGGATGAGCTTGATGCGATGGTCCCATTTCACAGATAAGGAAGCCGAGACTCAGAAAGATGCCTCCAGAGCCTGTGCTCCTGACAGCTGCTCTGCAGTGTTTCCTGATATTTCTTCTTCTCTCATGGCTGCCCCACAGTGGGGTGTTCAGGTCCAAACTCAACCCTAGAGAAGGGATCAGACTAGCATGGGGTTGGAGATTCAGTCAGCAAGCACCCAGTGGGAGCTTAGTGTGATAGATATTAAAGTGCTGCCAAACACAGATCTTACCTGCAGCTCCTTCCCTGGCCCAAGTCCAGCCTCCTAATCCCAGCTCCAGCCCAGCCCCAAATGGCCTTCAGATCTCCTCTAACCCCTTCTCCTGACAATTGGGTAGTGAGGTTGGGAGCACAGGTAGGAAGTTGAGATTGAAGCAGAAGAGAGGGCTTTGAATCCTGACTCCAAAGGGCTACACTGGCTCCAAGCAAGATGATAGGAAAAGATGAAGCAAAAAAAATGACAAAGTTCCACTCTGACTCACTCCCCAACCTGACCAGTTGCCTTTTTTCCCAGAGAGGGGGAATCAGAACTCTGCATTTTTCTAACTGTGTGATCTTGGATAGGTTACTTAAACCTCTCTGAATTGTTTCCTAGGTAGAAAACAGGTCATAAGGACCTTATTCCTTGTCACACATATCCACTCAGGCCCATCCAGCTGGGAAGTGAAGGGGAGGAGAGAAGAGGGGAGATGTAAAAGGGGCTGAATGGGGAATGAGGGTAAGTGACTTCCTGGTCCCTGTCCTAGCCCTAATTGTGAGGCAAAGAGGTGGAGCATAGGGGCATAACATAAATGGAACAAATTTAGATCTCACTGCTCACTGCTCACAGTAATGCTGGTTGTATCTCCCTGACCTGTCCTGTAATGACATTTTGGCACATCCTGGAACTTTCTGGACACCTTGGTGGATAAAAAAGTCCTGTATAGTTTAACTGAACCATTTAAAACTTCAGTCTCTAAGGGCTGGGAGTTGGCTCAGCAGCATAGTGTATATTTAGCATGCCTGAGGCCTCAGGTTCAATCTGCAGCACCACAAAAAATAAATAAATAGAACCTCAACCTCATGGGTTGGTGGAGTGCCTTAAGTGGTAAAGTGCCTTCCTAGCAAGAGGAAGGCCCTGAGTTCAAACCCCAGTACTGCCAATAAATAAATAAATAGTTCAAAAAAAAAAAAAAAAGAACCTCAATCTCCCTGGTGTAGTGGTGCAAGCCTATAATCCCAGCATTTGGGAGGCAGAGGCAGGAGGGTCATGATTCTGAGACCAGCCTGGGCTATGAGGCACGTTCCAAAAACTTGCTAGAACCTGCCACATATCAAGACCCTGTCTCAAAAGACAGACCTATATAGACCCTGTCTATGTATTGAGACCCTGTGTCAAAACAACAGCAAAATCTCTAATCCCATTGAAAGCTCTTCCTTCCTTGCTGGCAAGGCTTGGCCCCAGGTCAGAAGACATGCAGTGGGGAAAGAAATGTTCTGCTCTTTGCCCCCACCTGTCCCTCTGGCTCTCGGAGACTTCTGTGTCTCAAGCAGAGGAAGGGATGCATACCACTTGCCTGCTGCTATGGTCAGCCTCCCTTAGATGCAGCTCTCCCTGGGGTGGTGACACCAAGGTGATGCCCCATGGAGCCCCCTTTCTTGGAGTCTTCGTTACTCACAGGACCACACCTGTGATTGCCTGATCCCTAGCCATCTCTTAACAGGGTCAGTTTTCACTGTTCAGTGAGGCCCAGGGGGCAGGTGAGTAAGCCTGTATTCTGAAAGACAGATGCCCAAAGGCTGGTGGAGTGGCTCAAGTGATAGAGCACCTGCTTAGCAAGCATGAGGCCCTGAATTCAAACCCCTAGTATGGCAAAAAAAAAAAAAAAAGACAGCTGTCCAGGAGTGGGGCCCATACGTCCTCCAGGCATGCCTGGCCTTGTGTCCTTCCCTTAGGAGCCTGCACTCTTTGGTGGCTGCCACTGGGTGGTAAGGTGCTGACTGCCTCTTTGTTCTACCACTGTCCCTGCTCCTGCTGCCTGCCTTCTCTCACATGACTGCGGGGTGAAGGCCTTCAGAGTGTGTCTGGAAACTTCCCTGAGAAGCTATGTAGCACTTGAGAGTCACTATTTTCCATTTCAGAGTCTAACGGCAACCCTGAGACACAGATGGTTCAGAGTCTTCTTCAAACATTATTTGAAGTTCCCATGCCATCTAGTCATCTTTCTCTTCTTCTGGGATGAAACCAGGCCCCTCTTAAAGTACCTTTCCTCAGTATAGGGCAATGGGAATGTCAGCATCCCTTACCTAGTTTACTTTTTCCTATTCTGTAAAAATTAACTCAATTCTTATAGTTTGAACTCTAGGCCTCACGCTTGCTAGGCAGGCACCTTTACACTTGAGCCACTCCACCAGCCCTTTTATGTGTTGGATATTTTCAAGATAGGGTCTGGTAAACTATTTGCCCGGGCTGATCTCTGCCTCCTGAGTAGCTAGGATTACAGGTGTGAGCCACCAGCGCCCAGCTTAATCTGTAGATTTGATAAACATGATTTCTGTTTTATTCAAGGCTTTAATTAAAACCTTTATTGTGGTAGAGTGCTTGTTCAGCATATGTGAAGCCCTGAGTTTAACCCCCAGGGCTGCAAAAACTAACCTCCCAAGCTCCATTTTAATGATCAGATCAAGATCGGACCCCTCTCAAGGCAACCCAGGAGCCCTCAGCTTGCTTGGGGACACCCCTCAGGATGCCTGCTGAACTGGCTTTGCACTCACCTACTCTAGGGTCACACAGCTCATATGTCCTTGGCTCAGGGACACACTACAAGGTACAACCAAAGGTCTCACAAAAATCCTGGTAACTGGACTGGTGTGTAGCTCAGTGGTAGAGTGCTTGCCTAGCACGTGCAAGGCCCTGGGTTCTATCCCCACCACTACCACCTCCACCACAACAAAGAACATTCTTTGTAACCTGTTGCAACCTCTGGAGGACAAGAGGAGGTTGCCTGAGCCCACCTTGTGCCCACTGAGTGCCGCTGGTACAAAGACTTCCCCATACCTGGGCTTATTTGATTCTCAGAACAAACTTGGGTGAGGAGGTATTAGCCTTCCTTACCAAATAGGAAAACAGGCTCCCTTAGAGAAGTTATATAATTTGTCAAAGGCTGTTCAGCTAGAGAAGTCAGAGCCACTGCTCTTTGCCTGAGTTGAGACACAGCACCAAATGCCTCCCCCTGGGCATTATCCCATGGGTGTGTCCCTGCAATCTCTTTGGTGCTAACACATAATAAGCCCTCAATGAACATTTGAGAGCTAAACTGAATTGACATGAACAGAAATCCTTCCCGAAAGATCCCCTGTGTGTCATTACCCCTAAGCCTCCTCACCTTGCCCTGTTTCTCCTTTACACACCCTAAGTCCCATGGATCCATCACCATAGCCTTCTAAACTACCCCCACCCTTAGTGAGTTCTCTGCTTCCTGAACTATAGAAGCTTCTAAACGATTTTTTGAAGATTAAGTCAGATAATGTAAGTAAAACATTAGGCAAACCCTCTACTAGGGAGCTACATCCCCAGTCCTTCTTTTTTTTTTGACAGGGTTTTTTGACAGAGTTTGAGGCTGGCCTCAAACTCGCAGTCCTCCTACCTCAGCCTCTCCAGTGCTGGGATTGCAGAGGTGAGCCACCACACAGAACAGGGTTTGGTGAATCACAAAGGCAATAAACTTGGGCCAATTAACGGAAAGAAGAGTTTGCCTCTTGCTTCGCTTCCTCTTTCCGACTTGATTTATCAGCCAGCAGGGGGCGCCCACTGCCCAAAATTCCCGACTGGGACAGGATGGAGCGCCCTTCTGAGAGCTGGAGAAGTTCCTAAAGCGAGGCTATGGCTCACTCAGTAGTTACACACCAGAGTAGTAGGGATGGAGGAAGTCGGGAAAATGTTCTTAATATCCATCCCCCTGGTCTTCCTTTACCCGATGGAGGCGGAGGCAACAGGGTGTTTGTGTGTCACTGCTGTGTGTGGCATGAGATACTTGTTCTTGTCGTTTGCTGGCAGTCTCTCTCCAGCTCTCTCTCCAGTGCTGTTCCCTCCAGCGTGCGCATTCACTGTTTACAAAAATCACGACCACGTCCTTCCTTCCAGCAGCCCATGAGAGTTCCATCTTCACTTCATTTTATGAATGAGAAACGGAGTCTCAGAGGGCTTCAGTAAGTGACAGCTCTCCTGGGTGTGCTGAGTAACCGTGACTCGCACCCCCTCCAAAGGCCCCGTTTTGTGCATTATCTGCTTTTGAGAGGGTTTGACCCTTCCTCACAGCCTTCTCCCTCAGAAAGTCACCTCCATTGGATAGGATTCCCCAGGACCTGGCTTCCCTTTTGGTGCCACTCTCTGGCATCCTAGGACGCAGAGATGGAGGCTGAGCGTTATGCTGTACTCTAAGGGGTTAAGGCCTGGGTCCCGCCCCTTTCCCGCCCGGCTGGCGGGAGTATGAATAGCCTCGCTCCCACTCCCGACTCTCAGTCGCTCCGGCTGCTCCTGCCCCGCCCCGTCATTGTCCCCCTAGCTCTCCTTTTTCTCTTTCCTCTTAAAAGCTCTGAGAGCCACTCCTTTCTCCTCGTGCGCGTCTGTCCACGCAAGGTGGGGCAGACGAGCAGGATGGAGGGCTGCATGGGGGAGGAATCTTTTCAGATGTGGGAGCTCAATCGACGCCTGGAGGCCTACCTGGCCCGGGTCAAAGCGCTAGAGGAGCAGAATGAGCTGCTCAGCGCAGAGCTCGGAGGTCTCCGGGCACAGTCCGGGGATGCCTCCTGGAGGGCCCGTGCTGACGACGAGCTGGCAGCTCTGCGGGCCCTCGTCGACCAGCGCTGGCGGGAGAAGCACGCGGCCGAGGTGGAACGTGATAACCTGGCTGAAGAGCTGGAGGGCGTGGCAGGACGATGCCAGCAGCTGCGGCTGGCCCGGGAACGAACCGCCGAGGAGGCAGCCCGCAGCCGGCGCGCGGTGGAGACCGAGAAATGCGCCCAGGGCTGGCTGAGCACACAGGCGGCGGAGCTGGAGCGCGAGTTGGAGGCTCTGCGCGTGGCGCACGAGGAGGAGCTCGCCAGCCTGAACGCACAAGCTGCTTGTGCCCCGCGCTGCCCCGCGCCGCCCCGTGGGCTCCCCGCGCCTGCCCCCGAGGTGGAGGAGCTGGCCAGGCGGCTGGGTGAGGCGTGGCGCGGGGCAGTGCGCGGCTACCAAGAGCGCGTGGCGCACATGGAGACTTCGCTGGGCCAGGCCCGCGAGCGGTTGGGCCGAGCCGTGCAGGGCGCCCGGGAGGGTCGCCTGGAGCTGCAGCAGCTCCAGGCAGAGCGCAGCGGCCTCCAGGAGCGCAGGGCGGCATTGGAACAGAGATTGGAGGGCCGCTGGCAGGAGCGGCTGCGGGCAACTGAAAAGTTCCAGGTGAGGAGTTCTTGGATCTGGGTGAGACCAGGCTCCAGGAAATCCCTAGGAGGCTCAGGGACCTCAGAGTGGTGCAGGGGTGGCTGCCGATTCAGCAGCCACTAGTCAGACCAACCATACCGGTGCCACAGCCCCCAGATTATTAAAACTATCTAGGCTGGGAAGAACAGGATTCAGATGCCTCTCAGCACACAGGCCCCTAGAAAGGGAGGCAGCCAAGACGGGCTGAAGCCTTCACTCTCTGGATAACACCTTTCCTCCATGATGGCCCCCTGGGCCCCTCCCTAGGCTGCTGTCTCTCAGAAGGTGCCCAGCACTTCTTCCTCAGCACTGAGTCTGAGGACCTGGCCACAGAGAATGTCCAAGTCCCTCAGAAGGAGTGAGGGGCCCTGGATGAGTGACCATTAGCCCCTCTCCCATTGTCATGGTTTCTCAGCTCTCTGGAGCACATTCCAGAGGCCTGGGACAGCTGCTTCCCCTCACACTGCACAGATGTGACCAACAGCTGAGAAAACAGCCTCTTGCTTGGGCCAGACAGAGGTCTCTCCCTGGCCACCTCCCCACTCTTCCTTTCAGAGGAGGAAGATTCCAGAACATGTGGAAAGGGGAGGGGTGGGGGCCTGGTGCAAGGAGCAGGAGACTGGGATGGGACCTGGGCTGCTTGGCTTCCAGGCCTGCAGGCCTCTTGATTAATCGTTTTTCCTGCTGCTTCTACTTTCCCCTTCTCCTCTCTGTAACCCATCTCCTCTCCTCCCTCACATCCTCCTTCCTGTGAGAGCTGAATTCTCAGCCACATGTGCTTACCATTTAATCAGGATCCTCAGAGGAGCCAGGCGTGAGAGAGGGCTGAGGGGGCCCTCATCTGGGGGACCTAGCAGGGTATACCTGGGCAGAGAGGGATTGGGGGAGGTTTGGATCCGCTCCACAGAGAAGTCACTCAGGGAGCAGAGATGGGTCTGGGTAATGAGCAGGAGGGACCCTGGCAGTACCACTAACTGCCCCTGGCTTGCTCTGCAGTTAGCGGTGGAGGCCCTGGAGCAGGAGAAGCAGGGTCTACAGAGCCAGATTGCCCAGGTCTTGGAAGGTCGGCAGCAACTGGCACACCTCAAGATGTCCCTCAGCCTGGAGGTGGCTACGTACAGGTATGGGCTGACCCAGATCCACCCAGGCACACATATATGCACACATACTGGGCAGAGACTCCTTGACTGAAGGGGCCAGGGACCCAGCTTGGCTACCCCTAGATTCTGTGACTCATAAGCTGGTAACGTTCACACCAGGACATGTTTCCCTTGAGCCCACCTGCTCCTCCTGGGGTTCAGGGCCAGATGTGTCCTGTGCCCAGGAAACCCTGAATAATGAAGTGATGCTGCTGAGTGGGGTGGCCTTGGGGGAGGAGGCTGGACACAGGTGGGTCATCTGTCCAGACCCTTCCTCCAAGGGGCTGAAAGTTCAAGTCTCTGTGTGTGCTCATATTCACAGGGGCAAAATCCCTGAGGAGTCTCGGAAAGGAGACTTTGCAGCATGGATGGTTACACTGACTTCACCTGACCTAGGCCCTAGCCTTACTTACCTAGGGGTAGAAGCTGGACGGGGTGACTTCCCAGGCCCCTTTCTAGCCTGAGTGTCTGGAGCCTGACTCCTCGCAAGTCCTAGTGCTCTTGGCCCTGCCCAGTTCACTGGCCACCTTTCCTGTTGGATGCTTGGGGAGAGGCTGCGGGGAGTTGCTGCTTCTTGCTGGTTGTGTGTGACCTCTGCAAGGTCTCTTTGGAGAAACTAGCTCAGCTGGCTAACGATCCAGTGAAGGAGTCTGAGGAAGGGGCCTCAGAACTTGTGAGGGATGTGTGTACCAAGAAACAGGGTGGGGCCACATTATTAGGATGGGGCCTCCTCTCCCAGAATTCACGAGCAGAAAAGGCATAGGGCCTGTGACAGGTCCAGGAGCTGAAGGGCTCACAGGTCCAGAGAAGGACGGTCAGTGAGTAGGGAGGGTGGGGAAGAGAAGGGCTCCACTCTACAGAGGACAGGGTGCAGGGGAGCAGGATGCTGTCTGGGAAGACAGAGATTAAGACTAGGGAGGGCCAACCAGACTCAGAGGTCATGAAAGGAACAGAGAGTAGCTGTTCACAATAACTTAAATCAATTGGTTCCCCTCCCTCAATCAGCCCCAAGACCTCCATGCCTTGGGATTCACTGTGCTAGAGGTCCCAAGATGAGGGATGGTAGTGACCCCAATCAAATCACTGAGAGGAAGGGTCTAGGCAGGCCCTGAGGAGTGTAACCGCTGGGTTTTGAGGCATGAAAAGCATTTGGAGAGAGGGGGCTGAATTCATTTGCTTTTGTCTCTCACCAGCTTTAAGGGCCCCAGGGGAGGAGGAGGAGGGATCCCATCCCATGGGAACAGCCTGAGAATTCCCACTTCCCCTGAGAAGCCCCCCTTCTCAGACCCTCCAGATGGCTGTGTAGACAAAGGCAGTAATTAGCATGAGAATCGGCCCCCAACCCGAGGATGAGGTCATTGGCCTGGGCTGGGGAGGAGGAGAGTAGTCTGAGCTATGTGTGGGTGTGTGGTGGCACTGTGTCTGACTGCGTGGGAATTTATTTGTGTGTCTGTGAGGTCCTCTGTGTGTCCCAAATATGTGTGTGACTCTGTGTGATGTCTGCGGGTGTGTGACTGTGTGACTTCACACTGCATGTGGCAAATTTTGTGTGACATTGGTCAAAGTGAAGAGGGAGCCTGCAGTGTTGGCATGCAAGTTGATCCAGCTGGGGTAGAAGTCTGACCCGACTTTTCCTCCCTCCTCCCCAGGACCCTGCTGGAGGCTGAGAACTCCCGGCTGCAGACACCTAGCGGCAATTCCAAGGCTTCCCTTGGCTTCCAGGGTAAGAGAGCAGTTTCCTCCTGAAACTTTATCTTCTTTGCTTTTCCTACTCGACTTAGAGTCCTTGAGACGTTTCTTGAGCACCAACCTAAGTCTTAACTCCTTGGTCCCAAAGGCACTAAGCACAAGCTCAGTCCAGCCAGTGGAGGCCAAGGGTGGCACCCTGGTGCACTGTTACCAGCAGCAAGGCTGCTCTATGGCTCCCCAGAGAGCCAGAAACTGACACTGTATCTTCCCATCTGCCTTTCCAGACTCCAAGCTGGAGCTGCATTTTCCTGGGACCCCAGAGATTCGGCGTCTGCCTGTCCTCAGCCCAACTCCCCTCCCTTCACCCCTACCAAATACCCTTGAGACACCTGTGCCAGCCTTTTTGAAGAGCCAGGAATTCCTCCAAGCCCGTACCCCTGCCTTAGCCAGCACCCCGATCCCACCCACACCTCAGACTCCCTGTCTTGCTATGAATGCAGAGGTCAGAGCCCAGGAAGCCCCTCTCCCTCTGCTCCAGTCACAGGGTGAGAGGCAACAGGCTCCAGAGCCCCTGGGGACTGAAGCTAAGGCAGGCATCCCTGACAGCATCATCCCAGGACCAGAGGAACCTGGGGGCAAGCAGCCAGGGGCCAGTGCAGGCCAGTCCCCTGAGGACCAGGTCTCTTCAGTCCCACTCCTCAGCCCTGACCACCCCAGTTTAGAGGCTAAAGATGAAGAACCCAGTACATCTAGAGTGTCTAGCATATTCCAGGAGAAAGAAGGGCAAATATGGGGGCTAGTAGAGAAAGAAGCAACCATAGAGGTCAAAGTGGCAAGCAGCTTACAGAAGGAAACTTGGCAAGAAGAAGGGGATCTGCATGTGAAGGAAATCCAGGACTCCCAGGGTCCTTTAGAAAAAGAAACCCTGAAGAGTCTGGGGGAGGAGATTCAGGAGCCATTGATGTCTCTGGAAAATCAGAGCCATGAGACACTAGAGAAGGAGAATCACGAATCTCTGAGGTCTTTAGAAGAAGAGAACTTAGAAATACTAAAAAGTCCAGAAAAAGAAAATCATGAGTTATTAAGGTCTTTAGAAGAAAGGGAAGTGGAGGCAGAGAGAACTCTAGAAAAGGAGCCCCCTGAAGTACCTAAGCCTATAGGAAATGAGGACCCACAGACATTGCAATTCTTAGCAAAGGAGAACCAAGAATCTCTGAGGTCTTCAGAAGAAGAAACACTAAAAAGTCTAGAAGAAGAAAATCAAGAGTTATTATGGTCTTTAGAAGAAAAGGATGTGGAGGCAGAGAAACCTCTAGAAAAGGAGGCTTCTGAACTACCTAAGCCTGTAGAAAATGAGGACCCACAAATATTGAGATCCTTAGAAAAGGAGAACCAAGAACTAATGATGTCTCCTGAAGGTAATCTAGAGACAGTTTTACTTCTAGGAAAGGAAAATCAAGAATTAGTAAAGTCTCTAGAAGAAGAGAACTTAGAGTCATTGAGAGCTCTTGAGAAGAAGAGCCAACAGCCACTGAGATTTCAAGAAGCAGAGGACCTGGAGATGTGGAGAACTCTAGCAAAAGATAATCAGGAGTCCCTGACATCTCTTAAAGATGAGAACCAGGAGATTCTTAGACCTCTAGAGAAAGAGAACCAGGAGCCACTGAAGTCACTAGAAGAAGAGGACCAGAAGATTGTGAAACCTCTAGCAAAAGATAATCAGGAGTCCCTGACATCTCTTAAAGATGAGAACCAGGAGATTCTTAGACCTCTAGAGAAAGAGAACCAGGAGCCACTGAAGTTGCTAGAGGAAGAGGACCAGAAGATTGTGAAACCTCTAGAAAAAGAGAATCAAGAGCCACTGAAGTTGCTAGAAGAAGAGGACCAGAGGATTACGAGACCTGTAGAAAATCAAGAGCCACTGAGGTCTCTAGAAGAGGAAGGCCAGAGGATTGTGAGCCCTCTAGAAAAAGAGACTCAAGAACCACTGAGGTCTCTAGAAGAGGACCAGAGGATTGCAAACACTGTAGAAACAGAGAACCAGGAGCCACTGAGGTCTCTAGAGGAAGATCAACAGATATTTAGCTCTCTTGAACAAGAGACTCAACACCCACTGAGGGCTCTAGGAGAAGACCAGATGACATTGAGACCACTAGAGAACACAAATTCAGAGCCACTGACGTATCTTGGAAAGGACCAGGAGACAGTTGAATCTCTTGAAAAAGAGAATCAAGAATTATTCAAGTCACTGAAAGAAGAGAGTGTAGAGTCCGTGAGATCTTTAGAAACTGAGAACCTAAAATCACTAAAGACTGCAGAAGAAGAGAATCTGGAAACACTGAAACCTCTAGAAGGTCAAGAGCCACTGTGGTCTCTAGAAGAAATGAATAGAGAGACAATGAAACCTCTAGAAAAGGAAATTAAAGAAACCCTCAGGTCTGGGGATGAGAACCAAGAGACACTGAGTCCTCTAGAAAAGGACAATCAAGAACCACTGAGCTCTCTGGATGAGTGGAACCTAGAGACTTTGAGATCTCCAGTAGGGGCAGAAAAGGAAAATCAAAGGGATGTGGAAGAGGAAGAGAGCCTAGAGAAGGGAGAGAATCAAGAGATACTGAGTCCTCCAGAAAAGGACAATCAAGAACCACTGAGCTCTCTGGGTGAGTGGAACCTAGAGACTTTGAGATCTTCAGTAGGGGCAGAGAAGGAAAATCAAAGGGATCTGGAAGAGGAAGAGATCCTAGAGAAGGGAGAGAACCAAGAGTCGCTGAGGTCTCTGGAAGAAGAGGGAGAAGAGCAGCCTCAGTCTGTAAATCAGCCCAGGTGGGAGGATATGGAGGTGAAGGATCAAGACCTGGGTCAGGAACTCCCCACTGGGAGGGATGGAATGGAAAATGAGGATGAGTCAAAGCTGGACCTGAGGAAGCAGGATGGGAAGGAAAAGGCTGCAGAACAAGGAGAGCTACAGCTGAATTCCATGGGTGAGAGCTGGGACCCAGGGAACCCTGAGTCCAAAGAGTGGAGGGTCCCAGTAGTGGGAGCCAGTGGGAAGGAGAGCACTGAGGGCCTCCAGGATAGGGAAAGGCAACCAGAGCAGGTGGAGGCCCCAGACTTCCCAGCTTCCCAGGGAGAGCCAGAGGTGATAGAGCCCCTGTTGAAAGATGAGGATGCAGTCCCTGGGGGTGACCATGACTCCCTAGAGATGACCTTGGGGTCAGAGACAGACAGGAGCAAGTCTGCTGTAGGAGCTGAGGTGGAACTGAAGCAGGAAGTTACCGAGGTAGGGCTGGAGGACCCAGGGCACCCAGCTAGAGAAAAAGTGGTGCAACCATTTATGGGGGAGGAAAGTTTGGAGGCAAAGAGAGCTCAGGGTTTGGAAGGGCCTGGCAAGAGCTTAGAGGAGGCAGATGCTTCAGAGGTCATGTTCCCTGGACCGCCTAAGGTGAGCAGAGACCCCGTGGAGCCTCCCAGGGACTGGAAGAAGCCAGAGCCAACAGTCCCCTGGGGAGCGGAGGTGTTCTCTGCTGAGACCCCAGGCCATGATGGAAGTGATGTCCCTCAGGCCAGTCCCTCAGGGCAAGAGGAAGATGAGGGTGCACAACCGGTGCTTGCACCCCATGTGCCAGGCCTAAGGAGCCCTGGCCGCCCAGTCCAATCCTGGAAGATGTCCCTGGGCCTCAGCTCCAGGTTGAGGGGAACCAAGAGCCTAGCTGGGGCCCAGAAGTCATGGCTGAAGTACTGGGAAATGGGGAGGGTGAGCAGGAGGAGTTTGGTCCTGGGGAAATCCCTGAGAGTCTTCAAGAGGAGGGGGAGGAGAGCAGAGAAGAGAGTGAGGCTGATGAGCTAGGGGAAACCCTTCCGGATTCCACTCCCCTGGGCCTCTACCTCAGGTCCCCTGCCTCCCCAAGGTTGGACCTGGCTGGGGAGCAGAGGCCCTCCCCTCAAGGGGAAGCTGGGATGGAAGACTGGGACCCTGCTGTTTTGACCTCCAAGGGCTTGGGGGCCCCACCCTCAGAAGATGAGGAGGATGGGGAGGAGGAGCAGGGCCCTGACTCTGACCTGTCAGAGGATTTTGAAGACCTGGGGACAGAGGCTTCTCTTCTTCCAGGGGTTTCCAGGGAGGTGGCAGAACCTCTGGGTCAAGTGCCCCAGCTGCTGGAGCCAACAGGCTGGGATCGGGATGGGGAATCCGATGGGTTTGCTGATGAGGAAGAAAGTGGGGAGGAAGAGGAAAGGGAGCCAGGGGTTCAGCAGTGGGAGTCAGGATCCTCTGTTGGCAGCCTCCAGACCCTGAGTAGTTCTCAAAGAGGGGATCTCCTGGAGCCTGGGGCCGTGGGTGTCAATGTCCCCTGGGATGATGGCTTGAGGGGCACCATGGCTGATGCCCCTGTGACTGCCCTGGATACTGAGTCCCAGGATAGTGCAGAACCTTCTGGCTCAGAGGAGGAATCTGACTCTGTTCCCTTGGAGAAGGAGGACCAAATCCCTGGCTCTTTGGAGACCCTTAGAGGGGTGGAGGACATGGGCCCAGGGGCAGAGGACATCTTCAGTATCAATGGTCAGGCTCCCAACTTGGAGGAGTCAGAGCACATGAGTGGGAGGGTGGTAAATGGACTGGAACAGTCCAAGGAAGTGGGGAATGGGACACAGGCGGCCCTTGATGGAAACCAAGGGCTCCCCTTACAGGAAGAGGAGGGTGGTGCCCGAAAGACCCCTTGGGCAGGGGCTCCTGTACACCTGGGCCCAGGTCGATTCCTGAAGTTCACTCCAAGGGAAACAGACGGAGATTCTTTGTCCTCGGGGGAAGACTAAAGAAAGCTCCTCTGTACTGAGGACTTGGTGGGAGGATTTCCCCAAGCCCTTCCCTGCTCAGGTTCAGCATCCTTAATTTATGATCTCTTTACCTGTGATTTCTGTCCAAGAAAGAGGCCTGGCTGGCTGAGCTGAAACAGGATGTGACAAAGGATCCTGTCCCAAGATTGGAGGTTCAGACCCTGTCAGACCTTGCACCATCCCAAAGGCTTAAGTCAGCTGGACCCCTGTAGTACTAGGCCCCATTTCTTCTGCATCTCACCAGTGGGAAAAGATCAGGCTTTGTGCTTTCTCTGAAGGGTAGGGCTGCAGTTATCTATGTGCCTGGGCTCCCCAGCCCAGCCCCTGCTCTGCAGTAGTACCACCCCTATGGGAGGTGTGGCCTGTGGCTAATAGAGGAGAGGGGTGCACCTGTGATCTGACCTTTTCATCCCCACACTGCTTGAATAAAGTCATGCCTGCACCTACAAAGTCTTGATTCTTGCTTCCCATGCTCAGGGGGGGTCCTCAGGCCTGAGGAGCAGTGGGGAGACAGGGGGAGGAAGACAGAGAAGCTAGGGCTTGGGAGGGGCTCCTCCTCCCAAGAGGCCTCATGGGGGAGATGAAGGTAGATTCAGGCTGCTTGCAGCAGCCCTGGAGGAGGGCAGTTCAAGTGATCTCAGCTCTTGCAGAAGCCAGGACTGTCATCGTCTCTGCCCACAGCACTGATTACAGGAATTAGGCCTTGGGCCATCCCCACCCTTGTATGTCCTCTCCACTAGCCCCTCAGTGTCGCCAACATAATAAGCCCCCTTGTCCCCAAACCCAAACAGTTGTCTGGCCCTGGATGACTGGCTGGGTCTGAGTAGGGGGAGGGAAGGAGGAGACCTGGTCTGCCTTTGGCTGTGTGGCCTCAGGTCAGCAGCTAACTTCTCTGAACCTCAGATACAGCCAGGTACAACAGAAGCTGGCCCAGGTGACTAGGGTGCTTTCTGGGGTGGGGAAAATAGGAGAGGCTAGGGGAAGCCACTGAGATTTTCATCTTAGATCAGTAGAACTTCCTTCACAGGCAGGGTGAAGCAGGAGACAGGGAAAAAGAAGAAAGTGCAGAGGGTTTGGGTCAGTGCTGTCTGGTGAGAACTGCTGTGCTAATAGCTGGTTAGACCCAGGGTCTCCCCAGACTCTGCTTCTCTTGCCATAACCCCACTTCCCAGGAGTTCTCTGGATCCCTGTGTAGAACAGGGAGGGACCAGGGATTCCTGGATTAGGCAGGACCTGATGGCCTTGAAGTCAGGATACCCAAATAGAAACCACTCCTCAGTTCAACTCTCAGGGAAAGAAGATCTGGCGACACCTCAGAATACCCCGGGTGGGGGTAGGATGGGGCTGCCAACCAAGTGCTCCACATTTGGAGATGATCCCAAGCCTGGGAGCAGGCCCTTCCTGTCTTTAGGCCTGAGGCTGAGGGCTAGGGAAGATGAGAGGATGAAGTCTCAGATCCTTGGGCCTCTCTCTTTGTTCCCTGGCCAAGGAGGGCTGGACAGGAGGCCTCTCTGCCCAACTTGCATGACAGGACCCTCCGCCCATGCTTGTCTCCCTCTCATCTAGACTGTCCTGGCACCCAGGCCTTGGCATACACACACCCCTACCCTCAGGGTCCAGGATTCTCTCTCTTCCACCCCACCCTCCTGGCAGCCCAAGCATCCGCTTTCTCCTTCCTGTACCCACTGCTAACAAGACCCTGTCTGATTCTACCAGGCTGACTGGCATCCAGGCAAGTAAAGCCCACTCTCTGCCCCTCTAATGGGACAGAGTTGTCCTGCGCTTAATCTCCCCAGGCCCTTGGGCACCCCCACTTGGGGGAAACATCAAGGACAGAAGCTGAGCCAAGCAGCACCTCCTTGAGCCTGGGTGCCCCTCCTACCCCCTATCCCCAGGGCCATGGTCCTCTCAGAATTATCCAAACCAACCATTGATGCCAATAATCCCAAACAGGAGGAGGGATGTAAATTAGGCAGAAGTGAGGACTTGGCTGGGGATGTAGCTCAATGGTTGAGTATTTGTCTAGCAAGCATGAGATCCTAGGTTTGATCCCCAGTACCATCAAAAAAAAAAAAATGAGGATTTTTCTAAATAGTGTATATAGTGGGAGGTGTGGTCTCTTTGGAAGACAGTCTGTCAATTCAGTAAGAGAAATGAGGGCTGGACAGTGACAGGACTATCCCTGGTTGTGATAATAAAAAGGATTGTCATTTTCAACAGTTATTTACTGAGTTCTGCTATGTACCATGCACAGTGCAGGCCCTGAGTTACAGGAGTGTGGAGCTCTTGACCTGGGCTCAGCGGAATTTGGGAGGGACAGTCAGGGCAGGCTGCCCTGAGGACCAGAGGGATAAGCAGGAGTGGCCAGTGTGGGGAGGAGGAGGGAAGAAGAGGAGAGAAGAGCCAGAACCTACAACATGTGCAAAGTCCTGAGGCCAGAAGAGAGAGCTTGGACATTTGAGGAATAGAAAGAAGGCTGTGTGGTTGGAAGGTGGAGAATGAGGGAAAAGGCTCCCAAAGAGACTAACAAGAGTCAGGGCAGTGAGCAGAGGCCTCACCAAGAAGCCACAAAGTAAAGGTGACATGGCTAGGTTTGTATTTTATTTTATTTTTTGGTGGTACTGGAGTTTGAACTCAAGGCCTTGCACTTGCTAGGCAGGTGCTCTGCCACTTGACATGCTCTCCAGCCCTACGTTTGCTTTTTTTTTTTATGGTATTGAGGTTTGTGTTTGAACTCAGGGCCTACACCTTGAACGGCTCCACCAGCCCCTTTTTGTGATGGGATTTTTTCCAGATAGGGTCTCTCAAACTATTTGCCAGGGGCTGACTTTGAACAGTGAACCTCCTGATCTCTGCCTCCTGAGTAGCTAGGATTACAGGCTTGAGCCACTAGCACCTGGCTAGATTTGCATTTTAAATGAAACCTTCTGGCCACTGAATGAAAATGGATTAGAGCAAGCCAATGGCTTCAGGGAGGCCACCCAGTGGCTGGAGCACAGGACTGTGGCAGTGGGGATACAAGGGAGATGTGGAAAGAAAGCAGATCTCAGGACTTGGTGAGCCATTGTGGGAGATGGAGAGGGCATATGGAAGCAGAGATTCCCAGGGTTTTAGTCCTGAAGGAGGGTACATATGGACCTGGAGCTCAAGAGAGAGGATGTGGTTGGAGATAAGAGTCAGGGGTCATTGGTCTAGTGATCCCTCAGAAGAAAGTAGGTAGAGCCAGGTGCCAGTGGCCTCTAATCCTTGCTACTCAGGAGGCAGAGATCAGGAGGACAGTGGTTTGAAGCCAGCCCCTGGCAAATAGTTTGAGACCCTATCTCGAAAATATCCAACACAAAACAGGTGGAGTGGCTCAAGTGGTAGAGCACCTGCCTAGCAAATGTAAAGCCCTGAGTTCAAACTCAGTACGAGAGAGAGAAGGTAGAATGAGAAGCCAGGACACAGCCCACAAGCACTCCCAAAAGAGAAGAGATCAGAGAACTATACCAAGGAGCTGGAGGAGCGAGCAGAACCAGAGGACTGCAGTGCTTCAGAAGCGCCTATCACGTAGAACTTCTGGAAAGCAAGGACTTTGTCCTGTTCATCACCTGCAGCCTGGGAGCACAGTGGGTGCTCGGAAAACACGAACAAAATGAATGAAGGAAGGAAGGAAGAATGAATGAATGAATGAATGAATGAGCAGAGGACAGGATACACTCCCTGAGGGGAGTGAGTGAGGAGGGAGGAGTGCCAGCAACCCTTCCTCTCCCCCCCCACCCCCAACATACACACAGCATGAGGACAAGTGGGAGGTTATTCTGGGGCCTCCTCTGGGTAAATATAGTCTCTGAAAGGGGCGGGGTGGGGGGGTGTGGTAGGGCGGGGGGCCGGAGGTGGCTTCCTCGGTTTGTTTGGGGCTTTTCCTTATAAGGCTCTGCAGGCTGAGGCGCCTGGAGGGTGAGGTCAGGGGCTGAGGTTCCATTCAGCCCAGCCTGATGCTGTCCCTGTAGCTGCTGTTGTTGCCAAAGTCACAAAGGAAATCAAAGTCTAGGCTTTGGGCTCAGGCCAAGGGCTCTCAGAGTGTGGCTTCTTAAAGAGCTCCCTCTGCCTTCCTGGCTATGGGCACTCTCCCAGGGTCTTCTCAGAAAGTAGCCCTGGGCCTCCTCACGTCCCTCTCTGGCTCATTCTGAGTCTCCATAAAGCTATGTCCCTGGTGGTCTAACCCTCATCCCTCCCACTTCAGAGTGTGCCACTTTTGCTCTGGCCTCTGGGTCAAAGAATCAGGGTTTACTCATTGCCTCCAAAAAAGGCCCAGTCTCTCCACTCCCTACAGCCCCCACCCCCAGCCTCTTCATAGGGAATCAGCTGCTGCCACTTGACCCTTTGGTGTCAGCTGTTGTCAGCAATGCCACCCTCATCATGAAGGGATGGAGGAATGTGATTTAATTTCAGCTGGAATGTGCCCTCTGGCGCTGCCCACAGAAGAGGAGGGAGGAAAACCAAGCCCACCCAAGCCTAGGAAACCCAAGAAGAATCTGGGCTTGGGGACAGACCCCTCGGTCCCTTTTGGACATCCCCCCCTACACACACACACACACACACACACACACACACACACACACACACACACACACACACACACACACACACACACACACGAGAGCTAATAAGTTCTGGAATGGGTCTGCAGCAGGATGGATGGAAATTTGACTTGAGGGCCTTCCTGGGAGCTGGGAAAGGTGGAAGTTGCTAGTGAAGGAGGCTTGCGTGGCTGAAGAAAGGATCCAGGAGGTCATTCCTGAGCTTTCGGTCCACCTTGGGAAGACAAGGCTGAAAGTGGCAAGCAACCAGACCAGGGGAGGGGTGATTTGGCTCAGGGGCTTAAGAAGGACAGAGTAACCTTGGGTGAAGGCCCATGGAGTGTGCTTTGGGAAGCAGAGAAGATGAACAGACCCTTTAAGATCTCTCATGGTGCTGGGATCTCTACCCACCTCCCTGTTTGCTTCACACTAAGGGACCCCCTCTTCCCTTTCTAACACAGTATCCATGTACCCAGGGTAGACATTTCATCTCCTTGCCAACATTTCAGCCTCTTGCACCCTACCCCCTTCCCTGAGCCAAGCCTGCTTCCCAAGGGGAGAAGTGTGGCTATCCCCTTGTCCTCTCACTGCTGTTCTTGATAGTTTGCTTCAAAGGGAAGAACGCCAGTCCCCAAGTCCCAGGTCCTGGAGCACTCTTACTCCCTCTCAGTCTTTTCCTCTTCCAGCCACAAACTCCCCTTGCTGGCCCCATCTTCTCTCCCTACTTCCCTGACTCAGCTGTGGCTCCAGAAATAGACTGAGGCAGATGCCAGGAGGCCTCTGTCGAGGAACCCCCTCCCCACAGCTGTGGGCTCAGCTGCTTACAAGCCAGAGCTCCTGGGCCCCAGGCAGGAGATTTTGGCTGGCTCTGGGGCCCTCCTGGGTCTTCTTGGATTCCA